TCAGAAAATATTTGCTATATTTGTTGCATGGCATTGTGTCAAAAGTGCAATTGTGGAACACTGACAAAGTATCAAAACTAAAATTTTAAACATTAGAATCGAATACACCGAGAATTAGGATTAGACTCTAATTGTGATGTTATCAATTTTTGAAATCAAAATAACCCTTTTATAAGTCTCCCGTAATTTACGTATGATGGCCACGATCGTTTGAGTTTTGAATTTTATTGTTTTGATTTGAAATTTTAAAGGGTCCCATCAAACCAGTTTCCACATCGGTACGAACTTGTTGCGCGAGCAAAAGCCCATAAGCGGTTACACAGTCAATTAGCTCGGTAAATACGTTCATGCATGGGAACAATTGTTCTGCCCTGTGTGAAGGGGACTGACTGACCACCAATAGAGTCATGTTGAAGTCCTCTTTTCGCACCTCAAATGACCACTGACCACATATTCGCGTCTTCGGTGTGTTATTAATCCCCTTGCTGTTGTTTTGTTTTGGCAGCACTGGTCCGGTTTGTCGCGGTTAAGTCCCATGTAGAACAACAACTACAACAACAGCAAATGCAAACAAAACAAACAGCAAATGACTCAATTTTCCACAATTAACAAAACACTGACCTTGGGTCAATGTCGAGCCTAGCCAAGAAAGTGAATAAAAAGCAATAACAACTACAACGGGATAAAAGGGAAAACCGGTTCCCCATAAAACCAACCCTTGTTCGCGTTAACAAGCGATTTGAGCACGCTTTCATCGATGACACCCTACACGAATTCATAATGCTAATTAAGTGAATGCTGAGGAGGGAGGTCGCACGAGGGCCAGTTGTTGACGACCAATCGAATGATGACTTTCAGGAAGATCATTAAAGTTTGGTCGCCACATCAACACACACAAGTGCAACGCCCTCCTCAACTTTGATATTCCTTAATAATAGTTGTAAGATTGCGACTATCCAACCGAATTTACTGAACCTTGACACTTTAGTGCCTTATTAGTCCGGAATTCAAATTCCGAACTTTATTTTAATATAGGACGACGATTTGGCTGCGGATTTTCAGAGTTTTGGATGTATCTGTATCTGGTCTCGTTTATCGGTCGAAGTGGCTTTAATTAATTATTTCGACATCATAGTGAATAGATGGATTTTGGAGCAGACCCCATATTACAAGCATACTCCAATCATGCGGAATGGGCTGCATTTTTCTATTGTTACAGGTTTCTGCCTATGAGACAAGCCCCACATTTTTTAATAATTTCCACATGGTGGAAGTTATAATCTCAAGTAGCTAAAACTTAAAACGGAACGAAATTTGACCTACACTCATATAGGAGACATATATGTATATTATTGTGTGTGTGTGTGTGTGTTGCTCCAATGTGGATGAAGGGAGTGAAATGCATGAAATGCGACAGATTAATGTTGAGCCGTTTGTAGACATTATGTCGCTTCCAATGAAACTGTCTGCACTGCTGACTATTCTTCGTTTTTTGTTTTATTTTAGAGATTTGTTTTTACACTGCCGAAACATCTCACCCGCAACCTTTATACCCCATAAGGTGCGAGAATAACTGCACAGCTCAGCCATAATTCACCTCCTCGTCCTCGCCGTCATACGTAATGGATACATTTCTGGATGATTAAGAGAAGCTAAATTTACAATCCAGCCGAATTTAAAGCGTGGAATCATCCATCCGTCTATCTCTATTTGACGTCTCTATTTTTGATGATTTTTAATTTGAGGAAAAATGCAATTCTGACACTTGGATATCATAAATTGTTGCGAGAAAACAAAAACAACGACCAAAAAGAAAGGTGGCTCAAAGTTGGACTGATGGATTGTAATGAACGAGCTGGAAAGCGAACTAGATGCCATCGAGTCCACTTAATAGGTAGATAAAATTCAAGGATGCCAAAAGCATAGTCACATGGAGTCTCATCTGATTCAGATGATTTCTGTGGTACACCCTTTGGAGCATCCCATTTTGTTTTTAATTTACCAAAAACGTATACATTTCCATTTAATTCTTTCCTTTGCCGTTCAGCGATTGGGTCGTGGTTATGGTTACCAAATATCCTTCCTCGCTTTTTGAAAGCATTCCCAGTCTTCCGCAATCACTCGTCCATGGAGCAGAACATAGTGGTGTTTTGGGAAGGGTTTAGACTTTTTGTCCAAAATATATATTTTTTCTCAAGTGGCGAGAAGAGATATCCCAAAGCAGCATCAAGGAGGCAGACAGGAGGAGAGCATCAGCAACGACATAATATAAAAACAAAGTGATTTCTTTTGTCAACGTGTCTGCCACATCATTCCTATTGTGTGTGTGTGTATGTGTGAGTTGTTTGTTTCCCTTCGTAAAGTTTCAGATTAATAATTTGAAAAGTAAAACACATTATTACCGATATAGTACACAAACACTAAGCAGATAGAAACACAACAACACAAATTATATTGCGGAATTAAATTTATTTTTATTCATTTTCTATGGACGTTCTGGATGACCGTCCACCGTTTAGTTGGCGTTCTTTAACGGCATTCATCACCATTCTTCCACAATTATGATAAGATAAGAATCAGATTCTAACCCATGACGAGGTTGCATACCAAACTGTCTGGTAGGAGTGAAATTCTTTCAAATTTCTCCACTGCGGAGAGTTATTATTGGGTTAGGAATTGGAACATTAACACTAATGGGTGTGTACTAGGTTATAACAATTGTCATCATCGCTGCAGACTCCAGTTCACCGAAATATTAATTTGGCTTCACCCGAAATTTAAAATTCCTCTGGAATACGACAGAATATACATAAATGTTTTAGATCATAACCACGGCTCGGAAAACATTTTCCGATTCACTGTGCCCACACTCTTTCTCATACAAACATCGGATAAAGCAGTTGAATTATACGTAAGGGATCGTTATCTTATCTTATCAGCGGTTGTTCGTATTCTCCAGCCATGCGGAGACTTTCGTAACTGTGGCGAAGAGCATGAGAGCAAGCACATAGGTGCGGTTCTGTTGGCCTACATAGGAGTCAGTACGAATTTTGAAACAGGTGAATATAGAAGGTACAATCCGACAAGTCAGTGAATGTGTAAACCGAAGAGTGGAAAATAATTTGAAAGAATTTGGAACGAATGACGGTGTGAACAGAAGAGTGTACAAATGTAATTGGAAAGCGAGAAAACAAGAAAACATTTCGAGGCAGCAAAGAGGGGAATAAAAAGGCTGCCAGGGATTGCTGCCCCAAACACGGATGTACTAAAACAAAAAATGTGTTCTGAAAACCAAAACCCCCTAAAATAACGGAGAGTACATTAAACGTCACGATGTTTAGGATTGATATCCTTGAGAACAACAAACAAATATTTGTTCTTTTAGGGATCCGAAGTTTTACTTGGCTAAAAGTGGTCATTTCGGGAAAATATTGATGCTTTATCGCAGACATTTAATACTGCTCCAGTTGATAACATATCAGTGGGTCTTAAAATCGCATTCAGAGTATATTATGTTGTTAGTCATCGTCATAGCGAAGTACTCTTAACAAAACAAGTGTATTCGGCTCGCTTTACCTTATCAGCAGCTATCTTACGACCACCACCCGCCCCTTACGACCACAACACGACGGTACTTGCCGAAGACAACGAAGCATTACAACGTGCTTATCAGCGTAGTTTAGTGAATGGCGCGATATCTGTTGCCCAATCTTAACCCCCCTAAATTCCTCTTTGTTTCTGTTTTTGTGTTAGGACCTTCAGTGGCGAATTTAAGACCTTTCAATGTCTTGTATTGGTTATCTGAAATGAATCATAACAACTGACGTCGCATTACAAAATAATCGATTAATTCGGTGTCATGTCCAAAACATTATGAAACTTTGAGGCGAAGTGCAGGAGATACTTCAAACTTGAAATCTATGGTGAAGAACAACAACGGAAACCCTTTTCAGAAAATATATTCGACTTTTATTTTTTTGAAATTGGAGTTGAAATTGTGGGCACTAAATATCATTTATAATTTGGAATTTCAAATACACATGATATTCCAAATTCTAATACAAAAAAAAAACACATGATGCAAGGTGGATTTTCCGGTGGTCTCACCCTCTAGTCAAACAATCTACACATTGAAAATGGTCGAACTAATATCACTAAGTCCAATAGAGAATATAAAATTGAGCCGAAATTGGGATTTGAATCCCCGTATCTCAAGCTTTGCTCGAGTCTGATTTACAAAAACAAAGTTATCTATTTTCTGGTAAAAATTTCTATATCAATCTGATCAATTCCAGAAAAGCCAAAGGCAGCGTCATTGCCGGAATTGATTTTATCCTCTAAACCTTTACGCATGGCGAGTGATATATTTTAAAAAATTTATAGCATAGAAATAAAATAATTTGTTGTTAGGATACTTTTGCTATCGACAAGATAAGGTCAAACGGCTGTGCTGTGTGTTCACAATATCTATGGACACACACAATGGACAGCTTAAGCTGTCCATTTTAGTGAACTCTTGTACTGGGATTTCCCCGCACTCGCAGCTGGCACAGGATAAATTCAAACAAGATTCCATGATTCTCCAGGCAGGCAGGGCAATTATCATTCTTAGCCTTATAGCATGTTTACATTGAAGTTTTTTTTTGCCGGGTTAACGTTTCTTGTGATGAGTGTTTGTGATAGATTCAATGGAGGAGGCTTAGGAAAATTAAAAAAATACTAATGGTCCAAAGCCCTCATCCATTTTTTTTTCTAAAACGCGATGGCACTGTTCAACGTGAACTTTCCAATTTTAGCAGGTGAGGTCAAAGATAAGTGATGGATGTAAGAGAATCGCGGTCAAAAGAAAAATCAATGGATCAAGGCATCGTAAATAGGGCGGCGGGAGGCTTTTACAAAAAAAAACTGTTCGATTTTGTAACAGCAATGTGGCACAGACTTCTAATTGATGCGATTTTAAAGCACCAAACACCAAAATATTTCCCCCAGGGCGATAGCATACCTGTAAATCAATGAGAAAGACAATCGATACAGGTGATATCATGCGGAATAAACCTCCATAAAAATGTCTCTTATCGGAATTTTCAACTGATAACGTAATTCACTTGTACTCGCTCCCATGAGTAATGCTGTCGGAAAGGGCTTAAAGCCAACGCACACCAATGTGCGCCGCACATATATAGGCCCGGAAATATTTTCCAAACCAGCGGCGGCATTTGTTTAACCCTGAACTAAATTCAAATATTATCAAGACTCTCGGCGTAGTTTGTTGCCCAAGGGGGTGGGGGTATGCAAACACAGAGCTGGCAAACAATGACGGATCTTTTGCATTTATGGTGGATGGTTCTTTCGCATTAGCATTTTTCCCTTTACATTCCTTTTCCTTTACTTAAGTTCCTTGCAAGTTAAAGATCCTTGAAGGTAACGGAGCAGAGCAGATTTAAATCAATTCTTCATTCACGGGCTTGTCGTTAAAATAGCCAAAGAAAGGGCTTATTTCTTTTAATTCCATAACACGTTGTACTTACTTCCTAAAACGTGCCCGTTAATATTTTGTTAAAACCCCCATGACTGGCTACGATCTTCTAGAAAGATATTTATTTACCTCCTACAACCTATAGAATTTGTTGAAATTTTGAAATAGCAGTATCGAGTAGTTTCCCAGATCTAGTCTCGAAAGCCAACCAGTTGGGAAGTATGTTCACAGTTCATTCATTCCAAACCTGAGTTGTATCATTTCAAATGGGAGCAAAGACTAATCTTCGAACGCAATTTTTCCCATTGCAGGATCAACGATCAAATACTTTCGAAGAAAAACACAAAAAAGATATGTCCAGGCTTTCGGGAAGCAGCAGCCTACTGGCTGTAGCTTTGGTTTATCTATGCTGCAGCATAGGCGTGACCGAAGCTCAGGAAAATGCACAACTGCAGATTCCGCCATCACTTGTGGAATGCTACAACACGAGCTACTTTATGAACCGCGACAATCGCTTGCCCTCCAACCTGGAGACGCTGATTACTCTGATTGAAAAGGTGGAGAATTCGTATGGCTTCGACCAGGACATTACCCAGTTGTCGATAGCTCTGTTGCATCGATTCCGACAGGATGGCATCCAAAGAGCACCGGGTGTGGTAGCCTCCCCCGGTGTCATACCTTACAGCCCAATAGGATTTCAATTTCCCAAGTTCCGCATTTTGTTGTCCCGTCTGATACCTGGAAATGCTCTACGTTTCCCCAACAACACGTTGACCAGAGAGGAAAGGTGCTCCCTACATTTTATGCTCTCCAGCTCTTTCGATACCCAAGTCAGAGGCGATGAAAACCAGGTCTGTAATAATCTGTCACAATACCGAGCCCAAAGGCTGCCTCGTGCCTTGGCTGCCCCGCAGCTGAAACGCAACAATTTCATTGGCGATGTGGAAATTTTGGATGGCTTGCAGTCGAAGAAACCAGTTCCTGGCGCCAAACAACGCATGAACCCCATGAACTACGACTACGATTGGGATGACATGGGCTATGGGTATGGCAGCGACTCGAATACTATCAGCCAGTGCCCAGTTGAGAATGGCGTTATCCGCACCAAGTGGGGTAACGTGGCTGCAGGCAACTTAATTGCCGGCATAGCAGCCGGTCTCCAGCCCCAAACAGTTCAACTGAAATCTCTGCTGGCCTTATCTCCCCGCCGCGGTGGATATGTCCAAAATATGCCTCAAGTGGCCACCGTCGGTGTGGACAATCGCTGGGCGGCCACAGTGGCTGGTGACTTGGCTGAGGTCGCTCTAGTCCAGGTCCCAGTGTCTAGCACTGGCCAGGCAACAGTTGGCGCCAGCGGAGCATGGAATAGCACCGTAATGCCCAAGTGGTATTTCCTCAGTCAACGCCAGAACATGGAAATGACAGACGCTGAAATACGCGGCGGTCTTGATGGCCTCATCATTGCTCTCAACATTCAGTCCTGGCGCCAACAGGTGTCCAACTTAAAGCTGTCCCAGTTGCTGAGAATGTACTATTCACTGGACGGTGTTCTGAACAGCGGCATTATGGCCTGTAATCGGGCGACCTACTTTACCCAAAACATCCAGATGACCACCATGAATGTCCAGGCCTCCGCCTTCGCCCAGGTGTTGGATCGGGAAATGCAGCTTCACGTGACATTGTCTCCGGATGCCATCGCCACATTCGCGGCCTCTGCAGCTTCGGCCCTGGGTACCTATATACGTAAGTAGATCACATTCAGTCATCAAACAGATTGAAAAAATGCTCTCAAGTGTCTGCGTGAAGTCCATCCCACACTGCACCCCGATGATCGAATTGCACAACTTCTGCCGGCTTCAACGTGTAGATTAAAGCGATTTGTTTTTATTTTCGTTTGTAGCCAACATGAACGATCTGTCCTGTTCGGTTAGTAGCGCCCTGCCACAAGATGTGTCGCAGTCGATAACGCCCATGATCAATATTTTCGTCTTCTTGGACACGTCATGGCCCTACTATCAAATCGTTGACTACGTAAAGTAAGTTCTGTCACCTTCACCATGACCGAAATATATCCGACTCACCATGCTTCTCCTCCTCCTCATTCCCCTCCTTCCGCTATAATTCTAGCTACGTGTTGGAAAACCTCAACATTAATCCCTATGCCAGTTCGGTCACTCTCTTGGCTGCCCAAGATGGGTCTGTCATTGTCAACACCACGAACTACATTTCCAACGTATTTGAGGCATGGAATGTAACCACTCACGCAACGTGTAAGTCCTTGTGTCCGATAGGCCGATGGCAGAGCAATGTTGCCAATTTATGACTTGTTTTCGTTTTTCAGTCGCGCAAGGCTTCAATTTGCCGAATGTGTTGAGAACCGTGCAAAACCTCACATACAACTACATGAATGTCCAGCAGACCAATTCGTCTGTGGGCGGGCTGTCCTTGGTCGCGTTGATGATACCAAACATGGCCACAATCAGTGCCACCGACTCCAGTTATGCCACCACCCAACTGCAGTACATCAACGAGCAAATGCCCGACCTGCGTTTCATCTACTATGCTGGCGGCACAGTCAGCCGTTTCTCCTCCTTTGTCCAGGACCCCACCAAGGATCTATTCCCCTTGACGGTGGGAACAAATGCGGCCACTGCAGGCGGTCCGGTTGTGATGCGCATCAAAAAGAGTAAGTTTCCCACTTTGACTCGTGCTTAAAAAACGGCCACATAATATTCTTTTGCTTTTAGTTCCCCGACAGATTGTGAATCCTCGATGTGGCGCTGCGTGGTACACATCCACCTGGGGCACGAATCAAATGGCCCAATACATAAATCCGGGTTACATCAGTTTCTATCGCTTGTCGCCCAACTACTTCTACGGAGCGACATCTGGACGCTACCTCAACATCCAGTCGCAATCCTCGTCCGTTCAATACGTCATCTGCACTTCACGATCCGTTGTTCTGCCCCAACAGAACTCAAGCAATTCGAGTAGCGACCAAACCTGCGTCACATTGCAGGGTAACACATTTTCCTACGATCTGTCCTCGGCCTGCAGCGGCTACTACACCATCCACCAGTGCCCGCCACTGTACGTTTCGGTGGAGGCACCCGCAAGTGTCACCACACAAACGTACTCATGTACCGATCCAGCCTGTCAATCGCCGGTCCAGACCCGTTATGTTATGTCGGTAGTGAACCTGGGCTGCTTCAGTGGAGTAGCAGGCTTGTCAGCCAGCCTGCTGACCCTCTTGCTGGCCCTGATGGCCCCCCAGCTCTTCTAAAACTACAAACAACCAAAAATACGAACACTTCCGACGCGTTCACCAAGCGAATTACCCAACGCCACATCACGATCAGAACAATTCTTTTTATACTTCCGCAAGCACCCCTCACCTAATCTTAACAACACATGTATTTTCTAGTTCACTATTCGTAAGCCAACAATTAAAACGCATTATTTTTAATTAATTAATTAAAACCTACTACTTTTAAATATTCGTCTTGTTTCCTTCCAATAAAAGCAACAACAACAAAAACGATTAAAAGATACAAAGCTGGACCTGGTCCAGCAAAAAAAAAAACACACACGAGAGCCTTGAGAGTATTTTTTTCAAAATCATGTTTTTATTGACTTTCTTTTCATTTTCCTCCCCCTCAATAATCCATCCCCTTCATCTTCCAAAAGCTCTCATGGACAAAAGTCTCAGTTCCGTGGCAGTGGCCGAGCCCGCTGACATAACAAATCGCACGACCATTCTGACCGATATATTCGTGTTTCTGGACACATCGTGGGAATACAGACACGTCGTGGACTATGTCAAGTAAAGTTTCGAGTGCATTTGCCCATCGTTGAGTCTAATCGCATTGTATCTTCCCCACAGCTACGTTGTCGAACGCCTAAACATCAATCCCTATGGCAGTTCCATAACGCTGCTGGCAGCCCGAGATGGCAGTGTGATGGTCAACAGAACATTTTACATATCGGACTTCTACTCGAACTGGAATGTTACGACCCACTCCAACTGTAAGTTTACAAGTTATTCATACTCTGATTATAGGTGTTAATCCTTGAGGCAAAGAAGCAGCCCACCATTCCAACCACAAATGTTACCTCTGATTTTTTTTACCGGTGATATTTTCTTCATATTTACACGCTATGTCGTGTACCCACGTAATATAATTCAAGGGTCGTCCAAAATGCTACACTTCTGCGCCGTCCTAAACCCTAAGCTCATGCAAAATTCCGTGTGGATTGGTTTTTAATTGTGACCTGTAGAGCCACTGCAAGATCAGGATAGTTTTAATGTTTGGTCCATTTGAAACCCTAAATATACATGTTGAAAAGCAATAGGCTTTAATTCTGACCCTAACTCTACCCCATGCAAAATTTGGTCTATAATTGCGACCTTTAGAGCAACTGCAAAATTAGGAAATTCGTCTGTTCTTGGTCCATTTCAACCCCTAAATATTGTGCGAAAATCTCCAAAAGCAATAGGCTTTAATTCTTCTATTCCAATTTGGACAGAAGTTTCTTTTATTTATTTTGCATTTTATTTATTTTGCATAAAAACGAACTTGATGCTAAGTATAATTGTAAGTCGGGAATTCGACGAGACAACATTTTTAGAGTTTTGACACTCGTGGTGTGAATGAGGGATTTGCATTCACGCGAATTCATGTCTCTTAAGAAATCAAATATTCAATCATACATATCGATAAAAAAAAATCTACTTTAATTCTGCCCTTCTCTGCGTGGGCTCTGACTGAGAGGCCCTCGCATTTCAAGCATATTTAATACTCACTTTACTCGGATTCAAAATAACCTCCTGTCAGTTCGAAATGGTTTCAGCTTGCCTCTGATCCTTAGTAAAGCCAGAGATTTGACATCCAGTATTTTAAGCTCCGAGCAGATAAAAGATTCGATGGGAGGCCGATCTATTGTAGCTCTTCTAATACCAAGTCCAATCGCCTTCGTGCACGAATACGACTTCGACTATTGCCAGCGATATGTCGAACGTTTGAATGCAACAATGCCCGAATTGAAATTCATATTCTATGCGGGCGGGGCTGTGATTCGTTTCACGGACTACGTGTCCAACCCCAAAGAAGACCTATTTCCACTTGACTACGATGTGGGCGTCGAAAAATGCGCTCAGCCGGTTGTAAACCGGATACGTGGAGGTAAGTGGAGGTAATATTCGTTACGTGGCGAGAAAATAATTTCTACTAATATCGATTGCAGTGCCGAGACAGTTATCAAATCCCTGTTGCACCTCACAGTGGACAAATGGCAACCAGGCCCAGAACCAATTGGTGCAATATCAAGAGCTTGGGAAAATAACCTTCTATGCTATGCCCCCCAATTATTTCTATCACGATGGAAGCATGCGCTATTTGAAGGTGAAACCCCTAAGTTCCGTGGCCTTTATCGTCTGCACATCACGATCGCTTAAGTTGCCCTACAGAAATCCCTCAGCCGCAAGCGCGATAGGTCAAGACTGCAAACAAATCACGACCAACGATTACAGTTACGATTTGACAGCCATGTGCAACCAGATGGACCAACTGCTGGACTGTCCTCCATTGTATATTTCGGTACAATCACAGGACTTTGCTACAACCGCTCAGGCGCTGTGTACTGAGAAAAGCTGTCCCACCCCCATGTCTGCCCAGTATTCGATAATTGTTAACAATTTGGATTGCACCAACAGAGGCCGGACAATGGAAACAAGCCACAGTATTTTATTAATGTTATCCTTACTATTCCTTAGTGTCAATCCATTTTAATGTCCTTTGACAATAACATTAGAAAATAATTCGAAATATATTGTTGTAAAACAAGCTTGAATGCGTGTCAGTCGGCTTGGATATATATGTATGTGTGGTTTGTATTTTTGTCATTAATCATAAAAATAGGGGCGAATAAGTCAATATAGCACCAGATTTTAAGGGATTTCTAGTAAATACACGAAGCAGAGAGCAGACCGACAACATAGAACAAATAATGTATAGACAAGGAAAGACGCTATTTTCCAATCATCGGATAAATTCAGTTCAGCAGATACAGCTGATTTACAAAAGTTGACTTTCTTGAAAGAGATACGAGAAGAAGCGGATCGATACTGACCAAGGCGTCAAGTAAGTATAACGCTGTGTCGATTTTGGATTACAAATATTATTTATTAGTGAAATATTACTACTTTTATGACGGAGAACCCAGAAGGATCGTTTTAGTACGAATTTACAAAAACCTTTCCTTTGCGCCATTTCGCTTACCATAGACTACAGTTGAAAGTTTGAAGAGATTTTCGTTAGAAGGAATTCATCTTAAGGTGGAGTCAAGTTAAGTTTTTTGGTTTCTGCATATCTCAATATTCCCGTCACAACACATACAATTTCTAAAAATAAACGCCCAATCATAACTTCAAAAAATGTTAATATTTTTACAACTTAAAATTATTGCTTTTAATGCCCTACACTGCACTGTGGTCGGGGAATTATGTCTTTGTGCATTTGTTTGTATCATAGAGAAGGAAACGAGTTAGACCCATAGTTACTTTTGAGGATCCTCATAGAGTCACTTTCTGTGTCAACTTATGCACTCCGTCTGTCCGTCTGCCTGTCCATGTATTTTTGTGAACAAAATGCAGGTCACATTTATTGTCCGATTGATATTGCGCGCTAAATGTGTTATATTTGTCCAAATAGGATGTATTTCGGCACGTCTGACCGAATTCAGTCTAAAAAAAAGTACTTGAAATTTGATGAAAATCGGTTCAGATATAGTTATAGCTCCCATATATGTTTCATTCGATTTAGTGTTCTGATTTGGATATAGTTTCCATATATATCTTCATCCGATTTCACGGTTATTGATCACCATATATGAAGTATAAGCCCGAATTGGGTACATTTTTTCATTCAACTGAATCTTTCCATTTCAAGGAACTCAGTTCCGATGTATATTCTCTTAATATAATCCTTCACGAATGAATATCGATTCAGAATTGGATATACCTCACATATATTTTAGTTCCATCTGAAACCAAATTATGACTGCACTAAAGCCATGATACGCATTCAAATAAGGTGCTGCGGGATCTCTACTAAATATGCATAGTGGTGTGGGGTATCATATAGTCGGACACGCCCGCCTTTTGACCTTTCCTTACTGGTTTGGATTGTTCAAATGTTTTTATATCAACCAGTGGTAGGCAGTAATTCACGAATCTTTCAACCTCCTTCAACACGACACGTGTAGTTCGTATTCACAATTTATATTTGCTTTCAGGCCCGCGCGTATTTCTTAAATACAACATAAGCTGTAAATGTGAATAAAAGCCCATTCATATGTAAATGTTTCAAACTATATATGCAACTTCCAGGAGTTTAAATGAATCGGTCTTGTGCCTTTGTATTGGTGTGCGCAATTATTTACATAGGTAAATAAACGTATAGACGAGGAAATCTTCTCACCGAGTATTGAATTCGAATTGAGTTAGCCCACCGCGCTGCCCATTTTCAAATGCCAATAAATACACATTTTTTAAACTTCTCAGTAAACAAACGACTAAATTTGTGAGAAAATCATAAGTTTTCTAATAAGTCCGAGTTTCATAATACAATAAAAAAAATGGCTTGGAACCATCTCACCTCTACATTCGAGAATAAAAGCTTCAGGTTATTTATATTGTTTGTGTCCTAGAAAACTATTTCGCTTTTTTGGCCTACGATATGGTTCATCGCAGCTGTACTTGCTGACATCTACTTTTGAGAATGTACACGACAGTATGCGTGCAAAGACATATAATAAGATGGGACATTAAATTGTTACAATTGAGAAATAGATGTCGTTGGTGTAGAACATTATAATGCTATTACTTGAGTGAAATTACTTTGCTACACTCTGAAATGCACTGGAATTCTGAGAAAAAGAGATTTTGGAGACAAGCCAATGTCATCTTCTCTCTCAAAAGAAAATTGTTTGTTTTGACATAAAAACAAAACAGACACAAAACATTGTACAGAAACGAAATCTCATTAAAAAACTAATGGAATGAGCCAACCCAAATTCAAAAATAATAGAATAATTCGTATAGAATATATGCGTATTGGTCATTGTTTTAGTGAAACAAAAATGTTTCCATAGCAGAAATAATGCCTCAATAAGCAATGTCTCCACAGTTCTATAAACATATGAAATGAATGTTGATTAATAACTACGCAAATGAGAAAGAAAAAACATAAAATATAGTTTGTATATTTATGGGACACCTTGTATATGTAGGAACCACATCGTCGCCTTTAAAACGATTCGTTTTTGATGTCTCCTTCTGACTTTTTCTATAAAAGCTCTTTTATTTTCAAAAAGAATGGTGACAAATAATAACATTTCACTCAATTTTGGGAGCCATATTTTTACTGAGAAAGCTTTCAGAAATGCATATTTTTCCAGTCGATATTAATGCCATCTATAACTAAACATTGACATTTTATTGGAAAATGCATTTTGTCCTATCTTTATAGTTTTAGGTCTTTGATGTGTGCTACAAAACTATTTCGATTTGTGTCAACACTATTCTCACAGTCAGGTTTGTGCCTGAAATACAGAGCACTTACTTCAAACTGTAACTCTTAATCGAACGTTGAAAACTGTGAATGTTGGAAAGTGCAAACAAAGCCGACATCTAGCGACGTTCTCATGATTTAATTAAGAGCCAAGACAGGGTGTTTCAAACTGCAATTGGCAAGCAAGCAGTCAAAACTGTAAATATTTTAAAGTGAAATATGTAACAACAATTTTTGTCAACGGTTGAAATGTCGACTGACTGTGATTACAATTCACAATTTAAGAAACAATACACGCTGACGCTTTGAAATGCCATTCTTATCTAACCTTCTTGACAAAATAACATTTTTTAAATAAATAAAAATTATTAGACGTTGACTTGTAGATGTTCTATGGGAACAAAGGGAAAATGGCTCCAATTTCAAAGTTGAAAAAGCCAAATTCACTGTTTTACTCTCCAGTCGAAAATGAAAAAAAACAACATTTATTTTAATTTTTATGTCGTACATAATTTTTTCTTTGGTTTGTTTTTCTGTTTAACAACTCCTATTCGCCCTGTCACTGTGTGGACACTTTATGTGCGATTGTTTCTATTTTCAATTGGGGGAGAGAGAGCGCACGAGTAAGAGAGACGAGTGCATGAAAACACAGAGAAAGAGAGCCAGTCTAAAACTATTCATTATTGGAATGACATTTGATGTGTCTCAACCATCACACCGGGCGCGGGGTTGATTGGGTGCCTGCATTCGTTGCCCCCATAGCTGGAGCTGGCCGACTGGTTACGCCGAGAGGAGTTTGAGTAATGTTTTTGTTATGACGCCAGCGCAAAGAGCATAATATTTACTAACAAATAAACACATTTGGAAACACTTGCGACAAGGATATTTTATAATTCTTAACGCTACGCAGAATTTATTAGTGAATTGGCAATTGGAATAGACGGACAGTCGGTTGAATACAATTGAACAACAAAATACCAGAGCAACTGACAGTGATTTCCCTAGTTCCTAACAGTAAAGTATTGCTGAACTCCGCTCGGGAAAGCGAGAGGGGCGAGTCGCGGCGGTAAAATTAGGCAATACCGAAGTGAATTAAGCCAAAGTGCAGCAAACGGTGAAAAAATCCAAGTGCATCGAGTGTAAACTTCAAAGCCCTTTTTATTTTTTTTTTTAAACTACTGCACGATATCGAAAATTATCAGAACTTTAACCTTTATGTACATGCACAACGCTGCAATCAAAGAGCAGTAATTAAAAGTCGTCTAAATCTGCTGGAATAGAATAATATAGAAAAATGTATTGGAAAAGGGTAAGTTACTAAAAACTGATGCTATGATTATGGCTATGATATTTCAGTGGTCGTCTAAATGCCTCGAAGAACAAGGAGTCTCTTACAAAAATTCATCACAAGTACATTTTGAAAAATCTATTGATTTTTCACAATTACTTTTCTATACTCGGCCAGGAGAGTGAGTATTACTCAAACCATTGTTGCTGGTGAGGAAAGTGCAATTTTTGCATTTATTGCCACCCCGCACCATATCGTATCGTCCCCGTCCTTAGTTCGAGAACACAAAACTCATTCATGTTCGCTCCCACCCAGCACCACCACCACCTTTTGTGTGTACAAGCATTTCAATTTTTAGGAGCAGGCGCTTTGAACCACCTCCTCGTCTAGGCAGGAGCAGTTTCACTCCCCATCCTCCAAATGTCTCTGAACTGTCTGTAAAAATTCTATTCAAGTTCTGTGCGAGTTCCCTAATATCCCCCAGTCCGTTCAACAAATCATGTTAAGGGTGGGTGGTTGGCGGATGGATGTTTTCATCATGGTCGCGGCTGGCTGTTGGCGTTAGTGGTGTAATATTTAAGCATACACTTATTTCGGTGTCTATAACAATTTACGATTAAATGTATGTAGAAACACACAAAGCAAAATCAAATCAACACAATTCCTATGCACTAAGTTGTCCTAGAAGCATAGAACATGGATACTATGACAATGTATGCACATCGTCATCTCTCGCGCGCTTCCGCTCTCTCTCTCTCTATCTCTATGTCTCTGTCTCTAGCACAAATAACTCATAATGTTATCATGGCCATGGAAGAGGGATGGAAAATGCTGTACATTTGTACTTTTTATGGCAATGATTTCTACCTCAGTAATGCCACTCTTTCCATGGATATAACATTACCAGGATTGGTCAAAATGCAAGGCGAAATGCGCAAAAAGATTCCGACACTATGTTCCTATATCGGAATAGGCTGTCTTTATTTTTGTGCTCTCAAGGCTATCTAGCTATAGAA